GAGAGAGAGAGAGAGAGAGAGAGAGAGAGAGAGAGAGAGAGAGAGACAAAGAGAGAGAAAGAGACAGAGAGAGGGAGAGAAAGAGAAATAGAGAGACAGAGAGAGAGGGAGAGAAAGAGAAGTAGAGAGACAGAGAGACATATGCACGCATGCCAAGAGGGGACAGCGAAAGAGGTTCAAGATGGCGGCGAGAGGTCAGAGGTCACTGGGAGTGGGCGTGGCTTGTCCCTTAAAGGGACCAAAAAAATAACACTCAACTTTTGAATAGTCACTGTCAATTCTGTAGAAATTTTGTGAAATCATGACATTTCTCCCTTCCATAATGGGATTCATCCAAAATATCCCAGCAGTGTATAAATTATCCATTAAACCTGACTTTTTCTATATTGGCAACTGGATGACTTCACCTACACTATGGGCCCTGGTGTGAAAGTATTCACTCAGCCAACCCTTTATTCTCATAGTCAAATTTTCATAATGCTAGACCCCCATAATTATCCTCATTGACAGGACTTGTTGACAAGAGAGGAGCCCTAAAAGGAGGCACTGATCAGAGAGACAGTATGACTGCTCTTATTGATAAACAGGTCTGGGTGGCCTTAAATTCTCTACAGGCAGACTCAGGCAGGTGTAATCTGCTAACCATTGCTCTAACCTTACCAGATATTAATATTCTGTATTTACCCTTCACCTTGGCTTCAATTAACATAAGATCATAGCCCAGGAGATTAACTGGTTATGCTTTTACCCCTAGAGATACAGGAAAAAAGGCTTGTGTCACTAAACCAGCCCAAGAGAAAGAAATTCTTTCTTACCTGGGTGCCAGTGGATACAGCACCAGGATGCTTGGCCCTGGGGGTGGGGCAAGCTCCATCCTAATCCTCCCAGTATCTCCTGGATAAACAATGAAGTCAATTCAGTATCATCTGGTATAAATCCAGTGGTTTCAATATGCAAGACAACTCTTTCTGCATATTGTATATCAGTAACTATATTGAGAGGTTCTTTAAAATCCCTTAGCACCATGAGAATAGCATATAATTCTGCCTTCTGGACAGAATTATAAGGGCTTTGTTCCACCTTACTCAATTCTTCTGATTTCTAACCTGTCTTCCCTGATTTATTTGTATCAGTATAAAAAGTATGAGCTCTAGTTATTGGAGCATGATGTACAATTTGGGGAAATTTCCAAGAAGTTCTCTTTATAAGGTTAAATCTATTAGTTTTGGGATAATGGCTATTAATTTCTCCCAAAAAATTAGCACAAGCTCTTTGCCATGGTTCTTTGTCTTCCCATAACTTCTTTATTTCATCAGTTGTGAAAGGCACTGTAATCTCTGCTGGGTCTATGCCTACTAGTTGATGAAGTCTCAATTTACCTTTTATAATTAATTCAGGGACCTTTTCCACAAAAGTTTTTAATTTTTTACTTGGTTTATGTGGTAAAAAGACTCATTCTAAAATAATATTGTCCCTCTGCATTAAAATTCCTTTAGGAGAAACTCTGGAAGGCAATATGACTAAAATACAATTAAGATTTGTGTACTAATAGGAGCGGCGGGGCTGCATCCCCAGCACCCCGGCTGCCTAGCTAGCTTATGCCCCGAAATAACAGCACACAAACTGTATTCTTTTAAACACTGCTTGGCCCATTTCTATCTAGCCTCTTCTAGGCTAATTCTCGCACCTGGACTAGCCCATTTCTAATAATGTGTGTAAGCATCCCAAGGTGCGCTTACCGGGAAGATTGTAGCCTATGTCCATTCTGGGTTGGAGCTTCATTGCGAGTGTCCTCTGAGAGGAGCTGTGTGAAGTCTGAGCTCACTTCCTCTTCCTCCCAGCATCCTGCTCTGTTTACTCCACCCACCTATGTTCTAACCAATCAGGACCAAGCAGTTTATTTATTGCTTAACCAATGAAATCAACAGATTGATATATGACACTCCCACATCAGATTTGGGTTCACCCTATCTACATGCACCTCCTGTAATTTCTCCTCAACAATTGTCAATTCATTTTCTGTTTTGGCTGTTAGTTTTCTGGGACTATTAAAGTCTTTATCACCATTCTAAGGTTTTGTTTAAATGAATTATTAGATCAGATGATATCCCAACAGCTGGTTGTAGACTGGAAATGTCTCCTAACAGTCTTTGAAAGTCATTAAGAGTCCACAACCGGTCTCTCCTAATTTGTGCTTTTTGTGTCCTAATTTTCTGTAAAAACTATTTTAAAACCTAGGTAAAAGACAGAATCTCCTCTCTGTCTTTTTTCAGGAGCAATTTGTAATCCCCATTTTGGCAAAACTTTCTTTACTTCCTTAAACATTCTTTCTAAAGTATCCGTGTTTGAATCAGATAGCAAAATGTCATCCATGTAAAGGTAAATTATAGATTTAGGAAATTGCTTATATATTATTTCCAATGGCTGACTTACAAAGTACTGGCAGAGTGTGGAGATATTGAGCATTCCCTGTGGGAAGATAGTCCATTGATATCTCCTAGTAGCCTAAGAATTATTATAAGTAGGCACTGTGAAGACAAAATTTTCCCTATTAT